TTTTGGCAGTACAGAACCTACACCTTGAGCCACTCTACCAGTCCTTTATTGTGAAGGTGTTTTTTTGAGATAGGGTCTCCCAGAACTATTTACCCAGTCTGGCTTTGAAACTTGATCCTCATGATCCGCATGATCTCTGCCTCCTGAGTAGCTAGGATTACAGGCGTGAGCCATCAGTGCCCAGCCAGAAGGATAACTATCTTGCCAAGGTCACCACACCAAGAACATGCCAGGATTTAAGCCCAGCCAGTGTGACCCCAGTTTCTTTTCTCATGGGCACTCCTGGTTCATCTGCCAAAATTCCACCTGACACAGCCCAGGACTCTCTGGGCTCCCCCTGGCAACTCTGACTACTAGGACACAAGGAGACTTGTTCTTTTTAGAACAAATAAGGTAGATCAGGGATGCCCTGCAAGTTTCACTTCCCCCTTACAGTAGCTGCCTGCCCCTGGCTGCGTGATTTGGATCATGACGTTTTCCTTTAGGTACTTTTCATGTCTCTTCAGTAGGCTTGTAGGCCCCTTAAAACAAGACCTAATTGTTCAAAGTTCCATGAATATGTTTCCTGGTTGCTGATTTTGTAGCTGTCAACATGCTGGGTACTAGAGACCAAAAATATAAGACATAGTCCCTGTTGCCATTAGGTAGCTCATAACCTAGTAGCTAAGTATAGATCCCCCAACACGAATCTCTCTGCAAAGGAAGGGACTGTGAGAAAAAAACAAAAGACCCTCTCCATGTGTACATTTAAGGGAGCATGATTGTATCTGATGGGCCCCTGCTCTGGACAGGGTCTCCTACAATGCCAGCTGCTGGAGAGGTGGGAGGGCTGGACATCTGTGAGCACTCTTATAGCCTTGCATTTAGATAGGTTGTCCAGCTAGGAAAACTGCTAAGGACTCTCTGTTCTGTTCAGCTATGTTGGCTGTGATGGGGACACCTCCATTCAGCCAACTAGGATTGGAAATTTCAGAAGGTACTCTCCTAAACCAAGAGAACTGTGGGGAAATCAACATAGTAAATACGAAAGTATAAAACCAGATGAGAAAGCCACGTGGAGATTTCTGGGCTGAGGGTGAAATAAAGCTGTGCCGGTGTTCTCTGAGTTGAAAAGTTTTCCTGGGCACACAGGACCCTGTCCCTTTTGTATTCACCCTGCTGTGAGAAACCTATGTAGGAAGCCTTGGGGTGACCTCTATTCAGTACCTGTGAAGGAAGACCTTCCCAGAATGTACCTGTCCATTAACTCCATCCCCATTCTCTCTCTCTCTTCCTCCATTTCTTCATCACACACACAGACACACACACACACACACACACACACACACACACACATCTTGGGGAGTAGGGCTTTTTTTTGGTGGTACTGGAGTTTAAACTTAGGGCCTCATGCTTCGTAGACGCACTCTACCACTTGAGCCATTCTGCCAGCCCAAAATTAATGGAGTATTTTTTTTTTTTTTGGTGGTACTAGGGTTCAAACTCAGGGCCTCACTCTAGCTAGGCAGGCGCTCTATCACTTGAGCCACTCCACCAGCCCACACATACATCTTAAGTACTCCCTGATGATATCTGATTCTTTCATTAGACAAGACCATTCTTAAGACACATTTTGGTTCTTCCTGAGATCTATTTGGGAACAGTCCCCTAAAATCCCCACAGTCAGCCTAACCCACATCTTCTAGTACCATCTTGTTAGTTTGCGGACAGCTCTTTAGGTAGATGCTAGCAGCTGGCTCTGTTCCTTGGGTAAGACTTGGCTCCCTCACCAATTGTTCTGGGGTTTGAACTCAGGACCTTGCTTCTTGCTTTTTTTTTTTTTTTTTGGCAGTACTGGGGTTTGAACTCAGGGTCTACACCTTGAGACCAGCCCTTTTTTTGTGATGGGTTTCTTCAAGATAGGGTCTTGCAAACTATTTGCCAGGGTCTGGCTTCAAACTGCAATCCTCCTGATCTCTGCCTCCTGAGTAGCTAGGAGGCTTTACACTTGCTAGGCAGGCACTCTACCATCTGAGCCATGCCTCCAGCAGAGAATTGATTTTAACACTCTAAAAAACAAATTTGGCAGTACTGTATGTTTGAACCGAGGGCCTCAAACTTGCAAGAGCTCTACGACTTGAGCCATGTCCCCAACCCCCATTGGTCAGTTTTTAACTTTATTCTCAGTATCAATCTTGTGGCCCCAGTTGGAGGACTCCACCTTCGCTGCTCCCTGGAGCTTTCCTCACCCTTATCTCCCTTTTCAGATTAGGACCTAGACCCAAGAGAAAACTTTTCTGACAGTGCAAAGTCTTGAGTCCCAATGATTTCCAGGCTGCAGAATACACCCAGACAAGTAATACCTGAACCTCTTTCTGATTCAGGGGCTCACCTCCCTCAAGTCTCCACACACTTTCTTATATCTCATAGAAGAGAGGCTACAGTCCTGAGGCTTCAGGTCATCAGAATCAACTGGAGGGCTTGAAACAGCTCCACCAGCAGACCTGTTGATTCAGGAGATCTGGGGGTGGAATCTGCCAAGTTGTGTTTTTGACAAGCTCCTAGATGAAGCTTATATTGAGGTCTACTTGGGCAGAGTAACAATGTTACATATGCAAGAAGAGGAGGAGCTTTCCTTTTCTGTGTTCTGAAAATAATTCTAATAACTAGGTGTGTCCTTGGCCAGGAAGAACAGTTTGAGCTTTGAGAGAGAAGTGCTTCTGGAAAGAGGGAAGGAAGGAAGTAGACACAGGCTTCCAGGAAGACGGCAGGGGTCAGAAGACAATGAGCAACTGAATATACTCCATGCCAACAGAAAGACAGAGAGCACTGGCTGACACCAAAGGCTCAAGTCCAGGGGCCAGCCAAAGAATAAACAAAGCAGGATCTGAGGGCCCAAACATGGGCTAGTGGGCATCCAACAGTGGTATCTGGGAACCAGTTAGCAAGAGCTTCCTTCACACCCAGGCTCACAGAGGACTCAGAATGTGTCAGAGTTCCATATCTGGAGCTGAGGTGATGAGCTGAGAGCAGTGCCAAGCCTGGCACAGGCCAGTGTAGAACCACCCAGCTCAGAGTGAGGGGTGAAACTCAGGGCTTCAGCTGGAAAGCTGTACCCCTTGACAACACCCAAGAATGGATCTGTATTTATTCAGCGCAAGAGACAACGCTGCCCTGAAAGTTCCTCTTATCGCAAGTGTTTATTTTAATTTTTCTTAGGAAAATTCCTTTTGAAAGTCCCACCCTCTCCAGATTAAAGTTATATAAATAATATACACACAGAAGAGAGTAGGAGAAACACTTTAAAATGTTAGCAGTGCTTGTTTTAGTGTAAAGTAGCCAAGAATTATTTACTTTTCTTTTCTCTAGTTGCCAAATTCTTGTCTCATGGTTAAATTATTTTTACAACAAAAAAAATTTTAACAGAAGAAGAAAAAACAAGCTATAAAACAACCCAAGCTATCTGGCTTGTGGCACAAAATAGTCTTTGCTTTGACCAGAGAGTGAGGCGCAATGGAACTTGGTAGGGGTTTGATGGGATGCAAAGTGGAGCAAGAATGATAGTCAACACCCCTGAGTTATCCTTTCAGTCCTAGTGCTTTCTGAGCTTTTATGCCCAGGAAGTCATTTGTTTGTTCAGAATCTTGGCTGGACTGATAGAAACAAGGATGACATGGCCCACCTCCCATGGTGTTTGTAGAATGATGCAGGAAAACGTGAACTGAACTGTAAGAAGGTCAGATGAGAGCTGAGGAGCAACCATAACCTAAAATCCCAATCCAATCTGCAGAAAGGGAGGTCTCTAATGAGAGGTCATAGGCTTTGTCCCCAAGTGTGCTTCCCAAGTGTTTTAAGAGCAAGTTGGAGAGAGGCAGCGAAAGAATGCTTTGCAATATGCAAAATGACATGGAGGTGGGAGAACAAGTTCACATACTCAAAATTATTGCAACAGCCTAGACAGCTTGGCCAAAACCAAAACGATGACATTGGTCAGAGCCAAATGCAAAAGCCTATGTTTAGACTAAAATGTGTGTATAGTTGAATATTGCCCTCCTTCCTTCCTTCCTTCCTTCTTTTTTCCTTGCTTATCTACATTTTCTAAATTTTCTGCACTGGGTCTACATGAATTTTTATAATAAAAGATACTTAAGGAAACTAATATAATCAAAATTCTGACAGTTTGTGTGACTACCAGTTATTGTATAACAACTCTGAGAAAAGTGCCAGTGAATTCAGAGTTAGCCAGTGGGCTCCTCTCTGCTCCTCATTTGGGGGGAGGGGAGAACACATGGCAAAAAGCAGGAGACACAGGAAAGTGAAGAATTCAGAGAATGACAAGTTAGGGGAAAGGGTTGAAGAAACCAGGGAGTTGATGTCTCCAAATACTTGAAAGCCTGTAGTAAAGGATATAAAGAAAGCATAAAGTATACCAACTGCTAGGGAGTGCCCATCTAGGGCCAATGGATGGATGATAGAATGAGGGCAGTTTTGCATTCAGCAACAACAAAAAGAACTGACTAACAGTAGTGCCCAACAGTGGACTGAACAGCTTCAGGAAGTACTAAGCTCACTATCACCAGAGGTGTCCCCACTGCACAGGACCAATGCTTGCTGGAGATGCTGTAGAGGCCTCATGTCCAGTGTGGGGCAGGATAAGAAGGCTTTTACAGCAGCTTCAGCAACCAGTCACCTAGACTCAACCACTGATTAGAAGAACTTCCTGCATGAGGTGCCAGTCCCCCCTCCCCTGAATGCTGCCCATTCTGGGGGCTCCTAGAGCTTGGCATTCCTCTTACCGTGGGGATGAACTGAATTTCATAGGCATCCACTGGGCCAGGAGCACGGGTCCACTCTGTCCGAACTGTTGTTTCCTCCAAGAGGTGCATCCTCATGCCTTCAATGGCTGGCACCTCTGCCAACCAGGAAAATGAGGGAGGGAAAGCTGGTTAGTCCAAGGCAGCCACCTTCACCCCCATCATCACAACTCACCTTTATTCAGGGCCATACTATAGGCCCATCTGGGCTTCCTCTGCTCTCTGCAGGTGGGGAAAAGCAGGCAGAGGCCTGAGCAGGGCCTGGGTCTCCCTCTCCTTCCCCATCTCCAGGAATACAGAATCTCCCTGAATGCAACCAAAGCCACCCTCCCCCAACCTGCTCCTCTGTTATCTGAATGCCCGTCCTGCCTGCCGGCATGCCTCCCCCACAGTTCTGCTCTTCTGACTGACCCCTTCTCCTCCCACCCGCTATGTGATCTCCCTCCACTCTTCCTCTACATTTCTGAGTCCTTAGGCCTCAGGCTCAAGTGTTCCAGTTCCTCCTGTTCTTAGAACCTCTTTCTTTGCCCCAATATATGGAAGGCTGCCCTCTCACCTTCCCCACAGTCCTCCCCAGCATATCCGTCCTGGCAGATGCAACTGCCTTGGCGACACTCTCCCCGGCCACGACAGTCCCCAGGGCATGTCTGGATGGCACAGTCAGGGCCTCGGAAACCCTCAACGCACACACACTGGCCTGCGCGGCACAGTTCACGGGGCCCACAGCCCCCAGGGCAGGCGCTGGCAGGAGGTTCTTCTTGCCCACAGTCCTCACCGCCATAGCCCGCGTGGCACACGCACACTCCCTGCACACAGCGCCCACGACCCCGGCAGTCAGCGGGGCAGGTACGGGTGGCACAGATGGGGCCAGTGTAGCCCGGGTCGCACACGCAGCGTCCATCTTCACAGCGGCCGCGCCCGTGGCAGTTGGAGGGACAGGTGCGGATGCTGCAGTCTTCGCCCGCATACCCCTCCCAGCAGGTGCACACACCATCCTGACACACGCCGTGCTGGCTGCAGTCGTGTGGACACCGTATCACGCTGCAGTCCTCGCCCGAGTAGCCTTCGTCACACACGCAGCGCCCGTCCACACACTGGCCGCGGCCTCGGCAGGCCCCGGGGCAGCTGCGCGCGCTGCAGTCCTCACCCAAATAGCCTGAGTCGCACACGCACACGCCATCCTCACAGCGGCCGTGTCCGCGACAGTCCCCAGGGCACCGACGGCTCCCACAGTCCTCACCAGTGAACCCTGAATTGCACACGCAGCGGCCATCTACACAGCGCCCACGTCCACGACAGTCGCCAGGGCAGGCCCGCGTGCCACAGTCCCGGCCCGTGTACCCTGGCCAACACACGCAGCGGCCACTCTCGCAGCGACCCCGGCCACGACAGTCCCCTGGACAGCTGCGCACACCACAGTCCTCACCGCTGTAGCCCGCGTTGCACACACACACGCCGTCTCACAGCGTCCGCGGCCTCTACAGTCGCGCGGGCAGGCGCGGGCGCTGCAGTCAGGCCCGGTGTACCCCGGCCAGCACACGCAGCGGCCGTCCTCGCAGCGCCCCCTTTGGTTGCAGTCGCCAGGGCAGCTGTGCACGCCGCAATCGTCCCCGCTGTAGCCCGCGTCGCAGATGCATTCTCCATCCTCGCAGCGTCCGCGGCCACGGCAGTCGCGCGGGCACGTCCGCGTGCTGCAGTCCTCGCCCGCGTACCCTGGCCAGCACACGCAGCGGCCGTCCACGCAGCGGCCGCCCTCGCCACAGTCCCAGGGACAGCTTCGCACGCCGCAGTCTTCGCCAGCGTAGCCCGGGTCACAGACGCAGCGTCCGTTCTCACAACGCCCCCTCTGGCTGCAGCCCCGGGGACAGCTCCTCATCCCACAGTCCTCACCAGAGTAGCCTGGGTTACACACGCAGCGTCCGTTCTCACAACGCCCCCTCTGGCTGCAACCACGAGGGCAGCTCCTCACCCCACAGTCCTCACCAGTGTAGCCGGGATCGCACACACAGCGACCATCCTCGCAGCGTCCTCTCTGGCTGCAGCTCCGAGGGCAGGAGCGCTGGCTGCAGTCGGGGCCTGAGAAGCCCGCGCGACACACGCACAAGCCCTGCACACAACGCCCGCGGCCTTGGCAATCTCCGGGGCAAGAGGGCCAGCCACAGCTGGGGCCACTGTAGCCCGGGAAGCACACGCAGCGACCTCGGACACAGCGACCCTGATCATTGCAGTCGTCGGGACAAGACCCAGAGATTGAAGGTGGTGAGGAGGGAGGCATCCCAGTCTCTGTGGGGTCGGAGCAGGTGGGTCCACTCCAGCCCGGCTCGCAGGAACAGGCACAGCGGTTCAGGTCAAACACTCCATGGAGACTGCAGAGGCTACGCACATCTGTCTGACCTGGAGCAGAAGGGAGAGGCTAGCCTCAGTCTCTGCAGTGGGGGACTGAGCCCACATAGTGCTCTTCTATAGATAGGCCCCTCACGCAGGGCCAGCCTCTTGTCATAGGGCCCACTGAGCTCCCAGATGCTTAATAAATGTAGCCTCTCAGGACCTTAGCAAATGTTTGTGTTGACATCTAGCCTAATTCTACTCTTTAACTTATACCCTGGGCTGCACCTACCACCCCTAACTTCTAGGAAGTGGTACCTTTTCTAATTCATACCAAGATCTTTGATGCCCACCCCATCCTCTCCGCTTTCCTCTTCTTCTGTGGCCACCTGCTTACCTGTGCCAGCCTGGGCAGCTGCAGGACAACATCCTCCTGTGCAGTGCTCCTTGAGTCCTTTCACCAGCTCTTCCAGGATCTCCAGCCGGACCCTCAGGGCCTGTACCTCTGAAGCAGGGACTGGTGGCTCGGATCCGGGAGGACAGCCACAGCCAGCAGAAGGGGGCAGGTTTATGCGATGGGTGAATACCACTTGCTTTTCCCCTCCTTCTACTGTATGCTCATAAAGCTGAGAAGAGGGGCTTCCGCCTCCTGCCTCCACTGTGCGGCCCCCTGGCTGGGGAGGGGGACGTGGGGCTGGGAGTGTCACATTGGACCGAGGAGAGAAGGGGCCTGCTCTAGCTGTGCCCAGTAGCATCAGGAGGGCCAGACTGGAGGTTAGGGAACATTGGGCTGGCATCATTCAGGAGGCTGTGGGGAAAGAGGTCAAGTGTGAGAGTTGACTCAGAAAGAAGACAAAATTGATCTCCTTCTTCCCCAAGACACACCAACAGTCCCACCACTTACAACTAACCTACTCAACTCGTATGCATGTGAAAATTCCTATTCAGCCCAAACCGGAAGGATAAAGGATATCCTCTCTGGGCAGATCTGGTCTCTATCTCTTTCTGTTGTCATTTGTCTCCCCTTTTTAATTGTCCCCTCCCCCAAACACTGGTCTTTTGTAGTGTTTGCAAAACACTACAAGCTTACAGTAGCCTATGGGTCTTTGCACTGTATGTTCCCTTTGTCTAAAATGCTCTTCACTCAGCTCTTAAAGGCTGGTCCCCTATGCACATATGAATAGTAAAAAAATTAAAATTAAAAAAGTTAAAAAAAAAAAGCTGGTCCCCTCAAGTTCAATCTTTTTTTTTTTTCTGTTGGTACAGGTTTTTTTTTTTCTTCTTTTATCATTTTTACATTTACTTACATGTGTATACATTGTTTGAGGCACCTCTCCCCTCCTTCTGCCTCCCTCAGGTTCAGATCTTAACTCACAGGTCACTGACCCTGAGAGGTTTTCTTTATGCTGGGTTGGAGCAATCTCCCATGACGCTCTATACAGTGGCCTGCTCATGTTCCTCATGGCATTTACTGCTGCATGAATATCTGTTTGTGTGTTTACTTGGGTTTTTTTTTTAAATTTATCTTTCTCTTACTTCTAGAATGGAGGTTCAGTGTGTACAGGTACCTGCTATATCTTGGCACTGTTTTATTTCTGTATTTGGCACATAAATGTGTTGGATAAACATGCCATCCAACAAGTATGTGTTGAATGAGATTAGGGAAAGAGTATCTAGAGTCAGTCTTTCCCCAAATATCTGGATCGCAGATCCTACAGTCTTCTAGGAATCCATAAGGTATAGATTTTCTTCCTCTTTTTCTTAAGCCCTTACTCTCAACTAGAGAGCTTCCCACAAGCTTTTATGAGCTCAAATATCTCCCATTAAAAACCACAACTCTTCCTCAGGACTATCAAATACCAAACCATATTATAAAGCTGCAAGGATAGACAGATGGAACAGAATATAACCATGCATATGTTGTCACTCAATTAAAGACAGAGATGCCACTACAATTAAAAGGAGAAAAGCTATAATCCTAGCTACTCAGGAAGCAGAGATTGGGAGAATTATGGTTCAGGGCCAGCCCAGGCAAAAAAGCAAGACCCTATCTCTAAAATACCTAACTAAGAAATAAGTGTTGGCAGCGTGGCTCAAGTGGTAGACTGTGTAGCTAGTAAGCATGAGGCTCTGTGTTCAAACCCCAGTACTACAAAAAAAAAAAAAAAAAAAGCAAGCAAGAAAGAAAGAGGAGAAAGAAAAATTCACACAGGAAAAAATTGGTCTCTATCTTATATTCAGATACTGAAGTTAATGTGAGATGGACCATGGACCTAAAAATTAAAGGAAAAGCCTTTCATCTTATGAAGTGCCTTTCATAAGAGCACCTTATAGAAGAAAGAAGTAGAAACAAACCTTTATGATTTTGGAGTAAGCAGACAAGTAGAACACATACAAACCTACCATAAAAGAATTAATATGTTGGACCTCCTTAGAATTGATAACTTCTCTTCCCCCCACCTTTTTCTTTTGTGGTGCTAGGAACAGAACCTGGGGACTCACACATGCTCAGAAAGTGCTCTACCACTGAGCTACACTTCTAGTTCAAGAATTGATAACTTCTGGTCATCAAATGACATCAGTAACAACATAAGAAAGCAAAGGCAAGTCACAGCCTGGTAGAAAATATGTGAGATACACACACACACACACACACACACACACAATTAAAATCAAAATAAAGAACCCCTACAAAAAAAACAACAAAGAAAAATTTTTAAAAATTTTAAAAATTGGCAAAAGAGCTGGGCATGGTGGCCCACGCCTATAATCCTAGCTACTTGGGAGGCAGAGAAGACAACCCTGGCACAAAGTTAGTAAAACCCCATCTCAATCAATGACTGAATGTGGTGGTACATGCCTGTCATCCCAGCTATGCAGAGAAGGACCCAGCTATGCAGGGAAGGACAAATAGGAGGATCTTGGACCAGGCTAGCCAGGGTATAAGGCAAGACCATATCTTAAAAATAACTAATATTAAGTGGACTGAAATGTAGCTCAAGTGATAGTGTCTGCCTAGCAAATGGGAGGACTGAGTTCAACCCCCAATACTGCCAAAACAGCAACAACAAAAAATGGCAAAAGGCTTAAACAGATACTCAGAAAAGAATATATGCAAAGGGTCAATAAATGTAACAAAGTATAGAACACCACTAGTCATCAGGGAAATGCAAATTAAAACCACAATGAGATGCCGCTCAATATCCATCAGAATGGCTACAATTAAATGGATCCTGTTGTTAGATATTGGCAACACTATGAAGCAACTGGAACTCTCATCTGTTGCAAACAGAAGCATAAATTAGTGCAACCACTTTGGAAAACTGTTTGGTAGTTACATACCAAGGCACATAACCTACAACTGAGCAATTCCACTTCTTGGTAAATATCTAACAGAAATGATTGCATCTATCTTCCAAAAGACATGTATAAGAATAATCATGAAATTTTTTGAGACAGGGTCTCACTATGTAGCCCAGGCTGGCCTGGTTGTTCATAAGATGTATTCATATTAGCCCCAAATAGGAACAACTCAAGTGTATATTAATAGTAGATTGGATACACCAGGCATGGTGGCACATACCTATAATCTTAGCACTAAAGAGGTGTGGCCGGAGAATCAAGAGTTCAAGGCCAGCTAGGTTTCAACAGCAAGAGACCCTATCTCAAAAACAACAACAACACAAATTGTAGACTAGATAAATAGTGGCAGAGTCATACAATGGAATATTATACAGCAAGAAAAAATATCCTATTGCTACATGTAATGACATGGATGGACACAATGCTGAGCAAAAGAAATCAGAAATAAAAAAGAACACTCTAAAATTATGCCATAAGAGGTTCAAAAACAGGCAGAGTTAATCTGTGGTTTTAGGAGTCAGGGTAGGATTACTTTTATGTTAGAAACAAACCTTTATGACTTTGGAATAAGCAAACAGTATAAACTGGGAGGAGTCCCAGAGGAGATTTCTGGAAATTTTTTGTATCTTTATCTAGATGGTGGTTAAACAGATGTACATATTAGGAAAGTCATTCACCGGTACACTTAAGATTTGTGTATTTCACTGCCTAAAAGTTAAATCATAAAATTAAAAAAAAAATCTTCCCTGATATTGCAACCTCTCCAACTATCACATATTTTTCACCTCTAATTCGTGGTCATGATTGTCAAAGGATTTATCTGTACTTGCCTCATGCATGCCTCAGTCAACTCCCATCTGGCTTCCCCACCCTTGTCAACAGCCCAAACAACTGGGGGTGTGGCTCAAGTGTGGTAGAGCGCTTGTCTAGCAAGCCCAAGTCCCTGCGTCCAATCCCCAGTTCTGTCCAACACAAAAATAAAACAAAAAGCCCAAACAACTCTCCCTAAGGTCTCTCACACAAAATTGAGGGGACATTTGTCTTCATTTTACTTGACTCTCCCAAAATCACTGGGTAAGTTGACTATATCTTGTACTTCAAAACATTCTATGTCTGTGCTGTCCAATATGGTAGCCAAGAGGGATACATGGGTCTTGAGCACTTGAGATATGGTTAGAGTGACTGAAAAACTGAGTTGTATTCAGTACTTGTTTAAAGCTCCCAAGATGATTACAATGTGCAGCAAAGCTAAGACCTCATACTGCTCTAGTCACCCACCTAGGTATCATTATCCAGACTCATGATTTTAGTTTCCAAAAACCCACCAATTTGTAAAAAACAGCCTACTCATTCTCTTCTTACCTCCGCCTGCCTCCTTGCCATTTCCTCTGAAAGTGGACTGAAGATTGTCCTTCCTACACTTCTTCTTCTCCCAGAGTTCCCTGTTGCAGCTCACAGCTCCATCATTCAAACAGCTTTAGAAGCCAGAGACCTAACATCACATTTAGTGCCACCATAATTCATCTCTTTGTTTCCTTCTCCCCCTTCACCATCATCACAGTCCAAACTACCATCTACCTCTTGCCTCACGACTGCCATCATCTCCTAGCTGGTTCCTCTGCTTCCACACTTGCTCTCCATGGTCTTGTAAAGGCAACTAGGATGTCCCTCATCTCCTTAAAATTCTTCAGGGACTCCTTTCCAATTTCTTAGAACACTGACCAACAGCCTTCATCATCTGGCGCCTGCTGACTTTGCCAACCTCATCTCCTATAATATTTTCCTCTCTCTCCACTCCCACCCCACTGGCCTTCTGTAAGTCCATCACACTCTGTGCTTCTTCTTAACCCTAGACTTTTGTATATACTGTTCCCACGCTGTAGAACATACTTTTCTTTGCTCTTGGCTTCCCCATGGTTCAAATCTCAGCCCCACATCACTTCCAAGGAAAGCCTACCCGACCAGGTAGGATGGTAAGGTCCCTTATCATGTAATATCACACATCATATAAATCTCACTTGTAGCATTTATGACAATTAGTGATCATTTATAAACTGATTGAATGGTGGAACTATATTAGTCCCTTAGACTATACCTTCTCAACCTGCTCACTAGACTATAAAGTCTATGGGAGGCAAGTGTATACCTGTTTTTCCTTTTTTTCTTTTTCTTGGCTGCTATATCTTTGTATTTAGCACATGATAAGTGCCTAATAAATATTTATTGACAGTAGCAATGAAAGAAATGTCCACTTTAAGCCCAAGACTAGCATGAAGGCTGGAGTTAAGAACAGGACCAAGGTCAGAGTTAGGACCACGGACAGTGTCTGGGACTGGAAGTTGGTTAGAAACAGTAGCCAGGGTGGAAGAGTCAGAAACCAGGCTGGGATGGATCCTCAGAGCACCAGATGGTGCAAACATTTTAGAAAACTATTTGGCAGAATGTACTCAATTTAGTTAAATTGAACATATGCAGACCTGATGACCTGCAATCCCACTCCTAGGAACATAACCAATATAGCAATACTGCTCCTAACAGCCCCAAACTGGGAACTACCCAAATATCTCACATCGGTAAAA